ATCGTTCATGGATCCTGGAACTTGTGCATTATTTTTCGACCAATGAACCATGATCGGGCCTGCCTATGATCATTTCAACGAATACCCATTTCGCAAGTATGTTCCCGTGCATACTTACGGACTACAAAGAACTCATTCGTGTCCATCTTAGTTGCTCGCAAACGCCAATGGCAACTGTCGTCAACGCAGATAATTGTGTATAATGACTTGTTTGATTTCTTCACTTTAAACTCGGAGTTATGTTTTAAAGCAATCCGGTGCAAAGCTTCTTGCAATTCTTTCTTTGATTCGAATAGTTGCTCGATATATACATCTTCATCATCGAGAACTATACGCGAACAATTAGAGGACCGTGTACTCGGTCCGGCCTCTGAGCTCCCACTCGACTCATGTCTCCTACGAGATAAAGCAATCAAATTCTCGTTTGCAAATGCATTTTCATTCTCGTTGTCTTCAACTATCGATGGAATTCTGTGCGTAACAGTGTGACCATGGTGAGTAGCAGTGGTCTCGGGAATAACCACATCATCTTCACGAACAATCTGAATTGTATCCCAAATATCATTTACATTACGATTCTCTTCATTTGAAACTTCGTGTTCACCCTCGTGGACATTCTTCCCCAATAAAGTTACGAAAATAGGAATCGACTTCAGGCCTTGGTTCAATTTAATTAGATGTTTCATTTTCACTTCAGAAGTAACTTTTATAGGTGGAATTGAAATGGTTGAATGCTTATGAAACAAAAATCCCAATTCCATATCGTACTGAGAGGGATCGACGTTAAGCATGTTTTGTATATCACTGTACATTTCTGCGAACGATGTACTCCTTGTTATAAAAATTGCTTTAACCCCATCTCCTTCACTTGTCCATTTCCATTCCCACTGAGCATTTTCATTCATTTGAAATTCACCAAAGTAACAAATTGGGACACATGCTGATGCCATATCTGCCACAAATTAAAAATAAGGAATTAATATATAATTTTTTAAATTGTTCATTTCATATTTAATTTAATTTCATACTTTAAATAATTCATTGATTATTTTAATTGTTTCAAAAATATTTATTTCAATTAGTAATTAAATATTCATTAATATTTATTTCAATAAACACATTAATATGAACAAATAAATTCTAAAATTTGAAAGGGGAGGGGAGGAAAAAAATAAATAAATAAATAAAAATAAAAATAAAAAACCGGCCCAATCGGCTGGGAACAGTCGGCTGTTTCCATCCGGCCCAGACAACTGGGCCGACTGGAAACATTTGACCCAACTTTTTTTGTCCGTTTCATCTGAAATTTACGCTCGAATTTTTTATTTTTTCCCTTTTTCAATGAAATAATGTTTAAATATTTATTTTACAGACACCTATAAATTTTTCCTGTAAAATATATGCATACAGAGATGAATTTTTTTGTTATTTTTGCTATAAAAAAATTATAAATCTGTGTTTAAATACTGTAAAATTCATCTGCCTTTCTCAAAAAAATTATTTAAAGATTCAAACAGTAAATTTAACTAAAACAAAATTAAAAATACGTATTTACACTTATCAATTTCCAGTGCCGACTGTAAGTATTGTTTCTTTGTTGAACCTTTGATAATTTTGGGAGATTTCAATATTTTAGCAGATGGAAGGAAAAAATTCTTTTTTACTGTATTGGAGAAACTGATAAACAAAACTGATTTTGAAATTTACGTATGGAAGTAACTGAATTTATTTAAACTATTAAGGGTATTATTGTCTTTTAAAGAATTGATATACTTTTGTAATTATCAAACATGAATAAGGGTAGAATTGTCTTTTTAGTGACAAGAGGCCAATGTGGTGAATACAAAAAAAAAATGGTCAAACTGAAAAATTGGTTGTTTGACCAAGCCATTTTAAAAAGTACCCCGCACAATTATTGGTCTCAAGGGTTTGGTTGTTAAGGTGACAAGTAGTTGAGTTTGGTTTTAACAAGCAAATCGAGATTGTAATGCCCTCTTTCAAACCTCATTAACCCTTGATAAACATCTGATTGTTCAGATGACATTGAATTGAGTTTGGATTTAACGAGCAAATTGAGGTTGTAATGCCCTCTTTTAAACCTACTACTCTTGAACGTATGGTATTCTTGCAAATCAAATGCCATGGCATTTAAAGTTCGACTCCCAAGTTTATACACATTTTCAATATCGATCCCCATGGACAAGCACAAGTCAAATCGCCTATTGGATAGAGCCAAGCCCCGTGGTAGGTGAGTTGAGCGGTTTAGCTCAATCCATTTAATACCCATAAGTGGATTGGTGACGAAAAATATTGCCATCCTTAGGACGGTACTTTTCGTTGTTCTCATTTAATTTTAATTTTTTGGTCAATAATCACTCTCAAATTTGTTTTACGGTAGTAACGGAAAGTTATTGTTTTTCCAATAGTCAATGTACTTCCAAATGATCAAAAACCTTGTGAAAAGGGTAATTTTTATTAATAGCAAAAAATTTGTTAGCTGCATTATATTTTAACCACAACTAACGTTTCTAACCTTTTTGTCATTATTGTACTTGCGTCTCTCACATTTTATTGTCACATTCTTATTTTCAACTTTCTATTAATTAGTGTCATTTCTCATTAATCGCGGTCTTAATCCAATAAATTCGTCGGGAGGTCACATAAAGACTTATTTGAAACATAACATATTCGACAAAATATTTGCCTCTCGTTTCATAGTACACTAAAAGATTGTTTGAATAGAAACTACAATAATAAACAAGATGTATTAATTAAAGTTTAAGGACAAAAATACAATAAAAAATTTTGAGGATATAAATATGAGAATAAGCAAAAATAAGAGTATTCTTTGAAACTAAAATATTGTGCTAACCAGGAATAATTGTGATGTGAATAACATTCTTTGGCCATGTTTAAGTTTCATTATTTCTCTTCTTTTCAAGCACACATACCTTAATAAAATAATATTATACATAAATTAAAAAAAAAATCTTATTTTTTAACCATACATTTTTCATTTAATCACTATTCCAAAATGTATTTTTTGCCAAAAAAAAGGCATCAATCTGGCTCTTATTTATTTATTTATTCTAAGCACTTGTTGAAGAGGAGGTGAACGAATTTCACAATGGCAGGCCCCACTTTTTTGGGACTTTTACATTCATGCGGGACCCACGAGCATATGAGAGGATGTCAACCATTCTAGCAAAAAAATATAAAATTCGGGCAAAGCACTAAAATTCTAATGTATAAGTTATATTACAACTACAAATACTGTTAGTTACACCACAATTTTTTTATTTACTTAAATAACCTTAAATAAAATTACATTTGTGGGTTTTCAATATATTTATCGCATAAAATAATTTATTCTTCCACTACAATCATAAAACCTTTAAAAATTTATCTTCTTCCCAATCCCTCCTCCAACCCCCACCCTCAAAATTCATCTTTCAATTAAGTTTGACCATTAAAGAAATTAATCTCTCTCATCGAAATTAAACTGATTCCATAGAAGGATAACGATTAAAAAAATTATGTTTCAACGATGAAATTGATCGAATTAATTCGTCCAGATGGCAGGCGTAGGAATACTGATGAAAGGCTTGAGCTATGCAGGGGACAATTGAGTTTGTAGCTTTCAAGGCATATACGGTTCGAGATCCAATGCTTGCTGTATATTTCTTCCTTATTGATGTATCCATGAATGCGACCATACAAATGGGTGCAACTACAATAGCTTGCAGTGCAATTAACCAAGTTAGCAACATCTTCCAATTGCATCGAAGATATGAAATAGAGGAAATTTATTGATTTATGGCAGGGAAAATATAATAGCAGATTCATATCATTCCCAGATCCAAAGTAAGTGCCTATGTGTATACATGTTTGTATTATTTATATGTATAGATATTTAGGGTATGGATTTTGATGGGTACACCACAACATTATTTTTGTTAATTTATTTTTTGTTGGATTGGGAGTAAAATTGTAATTATAATGTGGTGTAGGAAATAAATTTTGTGGTGGATTACCCTTACATTTATAACCAAACGGGGCTCATATGACCAGAATATAGAAATTGGAGCAAGCACCCAACCAAGACCTGGAATGGCCAAAATACAATCCTAAGATTTATTGCTGTAACCAGCCACATCTGGAATGGCCATGGCCGACGAAGCTACCAAGAGAACCAGAAAGAAGCGGCAGAAGACTGCTCAGAGATTCTAAGCCAAACCCAAAACGAAAATTCTCGAACCCCAAACCACTATCCTCCGCTCTAGCTCCAGCTCCTCCACCTGCTACCACCATAGACACCTTTCGGAGCTAATCCCCCTCCTCATCTCTATCACATCTGCTGCCCATTCTTTCCTCCTCCACCATGACCTCCATCTACTCCATTCCCAATCTCTCACCTTGGAATCTCTTCTCTATTCCACCGTTATTTCGCTCACCAACCTCCATTCTCTCGTCTCCTTCCCCTTACCACCTACCTTCCCACCATCGTCGCAGCCGCAGTCGCAACAAGAAAATTGGTTCTACCAATTTTTGTCCTCTCCTGATTATGATCCTAGTTGGGTTTAATTTTTTAATTTGTTTAAGCCTTCTTTCACACTCCTCCTTCGGCTTCTTACTCCTTCTTTGACCACCCTCTTTTGCCTAGCCGACGTTGCCCTCTTCTTTGCAATCTCCCGTCGCTTCACCATTGACTCCCCGACTATCTGCAGGGCTTTTTATATTATCTGTAAGGCCATTGTGGATAATGTTGGCCATTTGTTAGTTTAATTCTGATAACAATAGGATTATAGTCGAGTTCGGGTGGATTTCCTTTCGTAATTTTTGTGGAGTTTTTGGAATTGAGAATTCAAATTGGATGGATATTCCATGGATGAAAGTGGGTCGTTGTTAGTTCAGGCTTTAGTCGACTCTGAATGGAGGTTTTTGGATGTGCCAAATTGGTTGGCCTGGTGGTGAGACACCGAAAGATTTATTGAAAAAGAATGAAACTCTTTTCTGGGATTGTGGATTCAAAGGAGTACTTAAACGGACCACCATTCGAGCTAAACAATGGCAATTCAATCCCACAATATATTTTGGGCAAATCCTATTACACCGTTTTACCTTGGCTTTTGACGCCCTTCAATGAGAAGAATGGGGAGTTGAGTTCTGTTGAATTGGCATTTAATGAGGTGCATGGTAAAGGTATGGAGTTGGTTGCAACGGCAATTGCGAAGGTGAAGAAAAGGTGGAAAGCTGTGGGCAAGAAATGGAAAGAACAATGTATTGAGGCTTTTCCATTTGTTATTGTTTTTTGTTGTTTGCTTTACAATTTTCTCATCGAGTGCAGTGAAGTACTGCCAGATGAAAATGTGGAGCTTCGAGGGAATATAGAGCTTCCCGATTTTGATGGAGAGGATGATGAGAGTGCGAAGAGGACACGAGATGCCCTTGCTTCACACTGGAGTCGATTGAGTCAAACAGTATGACTGCTACACCAAAAACAAGCATTTGCAGCGGCCAAAAAACGTCATGTGTTGAAAAACCAGAGGTTGCTGTTGAGGGAAAAGTTTTTGCAGCGTTTATTAAACGTTGCGAAAAGTGACTTTTTGCAACGTTTAACAAACGTTGCAAATGCTGTCAAGCGTTGCAAAGGAGAAGCTTCTGCAACGATTAACAAGCGTTGTTGTATGTCTTTTTTTTTTTTGTAGAGTGATTTACATATATCAACCACAAAACATAATCGAAAATAACTATATCAAATAACTTCAATAATCATTATTAATTGAACTTTAAAATGTAACAATATTCATACAAAATCCAGATCCAAAATTCTCACACACCTAAAAATCCTATACATTTTTCCAAAAAAAAAAAACCCACTAAGTAGTAAGTGAAACCATACTATCAGTCTCCTTAATTTTCTTCTCAGTAATCTTCGACATGAGTTGTGCCTTAAATATTGGTCCTGTCCTATAAAAAAGGAGATAAAGATAGATGCCACATTTTAGACATTTGTACCAATTAATAATCGAGAAGAAAAGCAAAGAAAAATAAGTAAGAATCATTAGCAATACATGAACCTAAAAAGAAAACCCATAAACCACATTAGAATCTACATACTGGGACTCAATTTTCTTGAAAGAAAATGGATGAATGAAAGTCACTGTTATGTGTTGTGTATTACTCATCAAGCTCCGAACAACCATTGAAGGTTTTGCATCATAATTGCAAAGATCAGGGGACACTTCCATGCCTGAATTTCCACATCCCACAACTACAACTCTTTGAAATTTCAATGCCTTGTGCTGAGAATAGGAATTGTGGATCATTCACACACTTGAGACATGTAACAGCCTCATCAGCAAGTTCATTCATTGAATACTGAGATAGATCATATATCTTGCTCATTAAATTGCTGAATCCCAGATGTTCTAACCAAAGCCATAAGCTCCTAATCTACAGGCATTCTGTTGGGTGACGCCATGTCAACGTTTTCCTGTTCTCTATGCAGCTAAAATTTGGTAGGATGTGTATGAACTAAGTCTAAGCCACAGCAACAATGAAGATGGGGAGAAAGTAAGAATCAGACATGAAGTGCTAAATATGAGAGATTCATAAGTAACATTGCAAAAAAAACTCTCAGAAAAAATTTGAAAAATGTAGAGAACAAAAATTATACTCGTAAATGATAAACCATCTAAAAAAAGCAATAGTAAAACATTTCAACAATATTAAAAGTCTAATATGTAACTCGTAGCATAAAAACGATGGACAAAGTAGCAAACACATGACCAGGCCATTTATCCATAACTATAACTAAAACCACTAATAACTAATTGCTTAGTTTTTCATTACTTAAAGACTGCAAAAGGAAATATGAACCCACATACAACAAAAGGAAGAAAAAGAAAGAGAAAATGCATGAAGTTACACATCATATGCTACCTGCAATCTGTCATCAACCTCCAACAAATTGTAACATCACTTTGAGGGGTTCAAAGTTTAGCTGTAGGAGTACAGTACTAGAGCAGGTATGGGCTTTTAACTACGCTTTCTATAATCTCCAATTCTTTTCCAGTTTCGAACAATTGACCGTGTTTAAAATATTCCACAACCTTAAATTTCTTGGCTATGAAAAATAAATCAGCTCTAAAAGCTGGGGCAGGTTGAGGAAAAGTCTAAAATGAAAGATCAGGAACTAGGGGAAGCGTAATGCTTCAAATATCTAACAAAATGTCAAGTATCCAATTTGACACAATAATTCCTGCCTAAAATGAAATGAACACCTCACTTTCAATTTATAATTAGACACATATTCACTTTATTCCACAAAATCCTATAATACAACCCGCTTACTTTGACTAACTAAATGGAAATATTCACCTGCCTTTGGGGCCTATCAATCTTCAGCATGTAAACTTATTAATGGGTGTCATTGAGGCCATGTTCCACCTTTCCCCTTCAGCTTTTCAATGACATTTTAGGCAAGCAACACAGGAATGAGTGCCACCAGATCACTTCAAATTCCCTTAAAATTAGCACTTGTAGGTGTCAATTGAAATAAGAAAAGCTAGGGAGCTGCATTTGATGTTGCACTCACAGTTCATTGCAAGATACAAGAAAGGGATATTGAAGTTGGGCAAAACCTTGGCAACTGGATCCTTCAATGGCTTGATAAAATGAAGTCATCGGCTCAAATCCAGCTATTCATTACCTGTTGTAGATAACACTATTAGTATCTTGGAAATAACGTTACCACCCAGCATCATAAAATTGAAACTTCTTAAGAAAACTGAATTTTATTTGAAACTTATAAAAGTGCTAAACATGGAAATGCACTAACTCCATGTATTAAGCTTCCTTCAAAATTAAAAATACCTGCAACTAATGGTTCGCAAATCCCATCATCTACGCCTGCTCATTTAGCCAACTAACTCTGTATGTCCATCTGTATCTGTATTCCTTACAAGTAAATTAAAACGAAAAGAAATCTAACTCCATCTCCAGTGCCGACATAATACATAGCAATTTTTATATAATATCCAAAATTTAAAATTACTAAAGCAAGCATGAATGTCATGAGAAAAAAATATCAATAAAAATAACCATTCTTTATCAATTGCTAAGTGATACCTCCAAATGCTATCAATTCAAATACGAAAACAGAATTCTTGTAATTAACGATAATACTTACCAGATTTCATTTTATTACACAGAATATATTAATTAAAAACACTGGGTTAATTCCTAATAACCCCAAATCAAAAGAGACTGTAAGATATTGAGAATAATAAGCATGGGAAAGTAAAAATTAACGAAAAATGCATGAAATTAAGAGAGGACTTACCGGCGACCCTTGACCGTGGACAATCAGCGACCGGCATCTGCCGATGTTGGCGATTTGCTGAGAAAACAAGAGAGGCGGCACCGTGGAGAGTGAAGTGGGACTGTGGGCAGGGAGAGAGAGAGATGGAAGAGAGGTTAGGGTTTTCGACTTGTGCTGTAACTTGCTTGTCTCGTGAGTGACCTTTGGAATGAAATATGAGGTTCAACTAAGCGGGTCACTTCTAATAAAATTCAAAAGATTTTGTTGGGCTTTGATGCCATTTGATTCAGTCCAACTGTTAGACAATGATGAAAAGGTCCAAATATGGATTTAATACTTGGTCCATTAATTATATACCTAGAAGGCCCACTTAATCGAGCCCAATACCCAGCCCACACATCTTAGTCGCTCTTGGTCCGTTGGATTGACCCGCTGATCAACGGTTGATGATATTACCTATAAATATCATCCTTAGCCCCTGTTTGGCACTAGGATCGTCATTTCTGTTTTCTGTCTTTCTCTCTGCCTTCTGGAACCTTCATGTTCTCTGTCTTTGTGACCCTTCCTTCTTCTCTTTGTGAGATTTCTGGTTGATTATCTTTGTGATAATCGTGTTCTTGTGAGATTCTCCTTTGTGTGAGTAATCGACCGAAGGTAGGCAGTTTTTGTTTTGGTTCCAGTGAAGCGACCTTGATGTGTTGGATTGTGAGGGCTTGTGTTTGAGTCTCGGTGCCTCTGTGATGGTAAAATGGGCGTGGTCCGAGCCTACAATTGAAAGATCTAAACCTTGATGTTGTGGTTTAGGGTTTATGATGTAATCTGCGATTTCATGTTATCATCAATGTTTTTCGGATCCTGTTTGTAATAGTGGTATCAGAGCTGTTGGCATTCATTCTTGAGTCTTCGATTGAAGGTTGAACGCTGGAAAATTAATTTCCAGGTGTTCGACCGTAGATCGCGAAACCCTAGTTTTGATTTTGTGTTGACCTAGTGGTCTGTGATGTTGATTCGAATCTGGACTGTGGAATGCGAGGGATTTTCTGTGAATCCTCGATGTGATCTGTAAAAGAACCATAAGATCGAGATCCTGTGGGTTCGTTTTGTGCTGGAACCCTAATTGTTTGGAGCTGCCAGGCCTTGAAACTGGAGGAACCTGAATCTGTAAGGGCACGTTTTGTGCCTTGGTGACCTGCAGTGAATTCATCCTTGCTGCAATAATTTGTTCCTGATTTCAGCTGGTGGTTAAATTGCTTAACCACCCTCGGTTTGCATTTCTTGAACCCTATATGACTGCACACTCACTAAACACTGCTTTTATGTATATATGCCTCTATGTTGATATGTTCAATTACTGCATATTGTAACCTGTTACATCAGTTTGTGATATCTTGTTATATTTGCCTGTGATCAATTAAGTTTGGGTGATTCAAATTGAGCCTTGACCTGAGAACTTGATTCTCACGGAATCCTGGTGAAT